TCCGTCGTTTTAAAAAGGCACCAACAGCGGACAGATGGAAAATAATGTGCACAAGAATTGACTACATGAAGTAAGCCAGCAAAAAGCTTAAATAAATAAGCAGCTGTTGATCCATTAAATATGTTACACTCTAAGAGGAGAGCCGCGGTTAAGAAAACTGTAACAACAAGAAGTGAAAAAATGGGTGCCACAGCGGAATTCTCAATAATGACGAGTCTCGTTCTGAACTTTGACAAGCAATGTATTAGTTACTTTTCGCCTAAGACTTTAGGGACATGTTCTGTTTAACAACACTCTATTGTGCGCTGTTCGCTCCACATAAGAGTACTGTTTTGTAGTATGGGCTTCAATTTACAGCAACGGGGAGAATTGCGTTGAGGCGAGTTATGAAAGTTGCTGTAATTAGATGACCCTACAAATACTTAACCTGTTCGCCGTGGTGTCTCTAAGGCTGTCATCATCATAAACAAATAAAATTGATTACAGTTTTTCTGTTGAACTCTTTTTCTAGGCTTCTTTTGCGAGCGTTTTGCCGGCTCTCAACTTAGTATTCTAGATGCACATCCACGGTTATAAATTGAAAGCTTTCTATGCCAACTAGGGTGGGCCACTGTTGTATGGAAAAACGTAAACTTGACCACATCAAGCGAGAACAAATCTTTTTTGGTTTCATTGTGAGTCACAAACAACTGTGCAAAATTTGGGGACGATTGGTTATACCCGGCTGAAAATTGAACTGCATTTTATGATAGCATTTTATAATTAAAAGTAATGACAAAACCCCAAAAGAGCAAAAACACTCCTTACCATCCCTCTCCAACTGGGGAGTTTGGTAAAGAGAGATGATCAACCAGATTCTTACCTACTTCAAAGTTGTCCTTACTCGCTTTCTACTCTCTATAAACAATTTTCACACTGCCGTCCTCTAACGAAACTATCAACTCTATATTTTCATATGACAGATGATATAAAATTACCACTTTAAGTCTATTATTTGACGCTTAGCATCTTCAATAGTTAACTTCATGCATGAAGTAATACAAACTAAATAGGGAAAATATTTGCTTCTGCAATACCTTAACCTATTTCGTCAGGGGGGTAAACAACGTCCTTGAGGGCTCAATTTTGGTATGTGGATACATTGTGTTTGAGAGCATTCATTGGCCAAATTTGAGTGCTCTAGGACTTTGTTTACCCCCTGACGATAATAGGTTAAGGTATTGCCGAAGCCAACATTTCCCCTAATAAATTACACATCCATTCAACGATCAGTACTTCAAATCTTTTTTCAAGACAAATCACGAATAACTTAAAAAAGTTAAAGCGATTATATAAAAGATATTATTTATTTATTTATTTATTAAACTTGCTGAATATTCTTTTATCCTGAGTATTTTTATTGTTATCCTATAAATAATAAACAATTGTAACCATAAAAACGAACAATTTTGTAGACCAAACATTGATCAGCTCAAAAAGCTCGATCTTTTACATGTATTAATTTTTGATTTTTTTCCGATGATTTTATGAAATATTTAAAAATATTTGGGAATATATCTAAGTTGCCTTGACCTTTGGGCGAACCGTACCTAATGGTTTGAAAAGCATTGTGAAATATTTTCATTACAATTCTTTAGTTTTAAAGCTTCTTTGTTCACGAGGTTGTATAAAATATTTAAACATTATTACTCGTTGACAGTGCTTCTAAAAATGCTTTAACATATAAAAGGTATCAATTTGGTTTATAATTTTTTTTTATAACTTTATTAAAGAGATTTTCACGCTTTATATTTTTTTAAATTACCGGTACCGAAGAAAACCGGTATTTTCTCATGCCAGTACTGGTAATTTGATACCAGAAAATCACCGGTAAAACCGGTACCTGTACCACATCCTCCGCATCCTATTCTTGCTACTGATTCTGTCTAATTCTAAGGTGTCAGAGGTGTATAGTTATTCGTAAATTCATTATTGGGTATATGGCTGAATTATCTATTATTGAATAATTATTATTTACGATAATTACAGAAAACAATAAAATAAAATATTGGCTACAGACAAAACATGACTACACATATCTCAACAAGATATTCTTACAAATATATTTGACACACCCATTCTTCATGATACACATTTTGCTGCCTATTTTTATATTAGGCCTAAGGACATGCGTTCGCTTCGAAGCTTCTATTCAATCTAGGACATCTATCAGATCACAAAAAAAAACAAAACCAAAAACTTAAAACGTTCCAAAGGTAGGTACATATATGAAAACAACAAATGACTGATTCGTTTACGCGAAAACGAGCAAGTAATATTGAATCTCTTGTATCGTATGCTAATTGACAGGAACACAAATAATATAGGGTAAGTGAGCTAGTTCTGGTACTAGTGATCCAGCTTTTGGCCTAAATCAAATTTGAAATTAATTTTCATGGATTTGATTGCGTATATAGGGTATAGGTATAGGATTGCGTATATAGGTCCCTAACCTCGGTCTAATATGCAGCCATCGATTACGTTTTTAATCATAACTCATCAATGAATTTACCTGCAAACGATATTCTACTGCTAAATGGTATGCTTAGATATGCTTATCATGTCGTTTGCTATCAGAAACCACGAAAAGTTGAAAAACTTACTTTTTTTAAGACAATAACTCACGAGGGAAATGTATGTAATATGGGTCTATTGTCCCCAAATTGGGTCTATTTATGGATGCAACTTCGTCCTATCTTGTTTGATCCTCAAAAAAACGCTCTTGGTAACGTTTTCTGATGTATTTTTTTTATCACTATCACTGTTAACTTAATGCTCTTCATTCCTCAAAACATTTCTTAGAGAAAATTTTACGAAAACTACATTAAATCACTCAATTTAAAAATTAAAAATTAAAAATTTCGCTTATCGTCTTTTGACCGCAGAATATCTAAATCAGAACATTGTGATGTTCATTATACAGGTTTGGCAGAAAAAATCTCCCTTCCTGTTCGTTCCTTATCATCCAAATGCAAAACAACATTGTTGACGTTACTCTTATTGCTATATGCTGTCAAATGAATTTCATGGGCCATAGTTAGGAACATAGAAAAGAAATGTGTCCCTAAAGTTGGGTCCATGTTTTACTTGTGAAAACGTTGTTAAACAATTAAAATAAACATAAAATATTCAAACAGCAACTGTAAGTTTTACGTCTAGTGTGTATTATCAGGTAATTCCAATCAATAAATGCCATAATCAGGCCATTTGATGATCGTCAGTCAACCTTCCCATCTTAACCTTATAAGTCATGGCGGCTAAAAACTCCGAACATTGTGATATTCTCAACCAGTTTTATTACTTACGAGAGCTGAAAATGTATTGAAATGTTGTGATATAAATTGATTTGTGTGTGGTACACATTTATCAACCATCAGTGATCAATATTTTCCTTATTTTTTGTGTAATATTCCTTAATTAATTATTTATTTGCGTGATAGGCCGAATGAAAGGACTAGACCCACATTACATACCGTAACCCTATACGGCAAAATATATCTTCTAACCATGTTTTGTGAAGAATGATAAAATTTGAAAATTAAGATAGGGCCAAACCACCAGGGGAAAAACTGGCGCACTGTAGGGTAAGTGTAGATTAAAATAATAATAAAGTTTTATGCTCAATTTACTAAAAAAAATCATTATTTTATTGGTGAGAAGTTTCTAATAAGCCCTCCCAGTTCCTCTGTTTACAGAACAAATCTGATAGTATGATTATCATAGTTGCAAATATACAGAGACTAAACATACCCCTTTGCTTCAGTGACGTCTACCTCCATGTCTATGGGGAGGGGTATTGATAATAATTTCCCTTCCTATCAATATATTGATGCGTGTGATGTCAACTTAACGCCTATTTTCGTCCTATAAGTATAAAACGTCAAACTGGTTTCTTGTATATTTTTGCATTTGGAAATCGAACAATTATTCATAAATAAAAAAAAAAATACAGATAGAAAAATACTAAAATTTCATCACTTAATAACAATGTTGACACCTGAAGACGGGCCCGGCATAGGGGTTAGCATCCATACTTCTCACGCATAAGGTCACGAGTTCAAATCTGATCCCCGGACATGTCACTAATGACCTTAAATGTGTGAAAATTACTATAATAAAAAATAAAGTCGAGAAAATTCCCAACCTGAAAGATTTTCTATACCAGACCGGAATCGAACCCGCCGCTTCCGGCTTGTTAAAATAGTCAGCCTCAACTGAGGTCCCTAAATGCAAATGATATTCAAATTAAATACACACATTGATCTACCATGCTAATTCCAACAAATTCATAACTTTGACCCAACTACTGAATTGTTTCATCAGCAGCAATAGCAGGTTGAGATGGTTTAGTTATCCTAATAATTTCTACTGACCGTTGGATGCTTTTCGATTGTATTCTACTGATAAGCTGCCTATCCACGACGCACTGCAGCTGAAATTAAACCAAATGGGAATAACAGCTTCGATTCCCGCTGCATTGTTTGGTACATAAATCTTTCAATTCTGTTTTAACTCGGATTGGCTGACACTGTCAAATGGTACATGCAAGCCTACATCAGCATAAAAAAACTCTAATAATTCGGGATTTGCAGCAGCGGTTAGCGATTGGTAATTTATTTCGAAAATCGTTCCGAAGCGTCAGCGTGTCATGCCAATTATTGTCCATGTTCTGCACTAGCTCCTAAATAAGGATACCTAATAAATAACACATGTGGAAACATGAACGCGATAAAATTGAAATAGATTCTCACAGAGGAAAAGATCTGACCAACCACCACGTTCCACAGTGAGTGGCGAAAGGATTCCTAAGCAATCACATCTTTTCAGTCCATCCATCACATAGAGACGACATGTGTGTATGCTATTCCCATTGCTGCTAACCTAGATTCCGGAATAATTCCAGTGTTTGAGTTTGTATCTCATACGATTTTTCTCTTCTTTCCGATTCTTTTATTCCACAGCTAGATTTACTGTAAAGGAAAATTTATGGTAGCATCATGTCCCACGACTGAAATAATCAATATGTCAATTGATGCTGCTGTAGCTGCTAGTGCTGGTGATGCCTCTAATGTCTTCAGTCGATTATCGTCTTCCGTTTCTGGAGCCGGAGCAGGTTCAGCACTTGCCACAAATGGAGGTGGTGGAGGCGAGCGAAAGCTGCATTACTTCGACGGCAGCGAAGATGACACCACGGCAACTAAACAACAATTTTACAGCCTCCAACACCAACAGAGGGCACTCTCGTTTGGAGAAAATATCACAACCTCCACAATGTACTCCTCACTGGATCCTGGCATTTACAATCCGGTAGAGGCGGAAAATGAGACTGACTTTTACTACATCAATGGACCAGGCGCTTACGGTGGCTATGCAGGAAGCCACAATGGCACACTACCGTACGCAGATGATTACTATCAAGGCTGTATGGGAATAGACGGTAACGTTTCCTATCTGAACGTGTCGTGCGAAACGATCCTCAACTACAGCATACCACTGTACGGCTACTGTACACCCATCTTCATCCTAATTACACTGACTGCCAACTCGCTGATCGTGATTGTCCTCAGCAAACGCAGCATGGCGTCGCCAACCAACTTCGTGTTGATGGGTAAGTTTCGTGTTCGGTATCCTAAAATTAACTCCAGCTTTGCTGTCCCGACGGGTTTGCCTTAGAAGCTAATTATAAAAGTAATAAATCAGTCTTAATCAAATAATCAAACTGACTTGAATGTTCTTCTTTGGTTATACAGGCGGTTCCGGTGCGGAGATGTTTCATTTTTCTCTTGATGTTCATCTTTCTATATAGAAGGAAGGAATCAAATTCCCATAAAATATGCTCTCAACGCTACTAAATATCGTAACTGTTCCGGTAGGTTGCTGCTGTAGCAATCTTGAATTCTTTTTGCTATTCTGACAGTGGCATGTATGTTTCACGTTTCTCCGGAACAGGAAGACGAATAACAGGTGCTTGAATGTATTCCAGAGAATTGGATAAGCTCATAGAAGTGATGTCAAAACCAATAATTAATTGTATATTAATACATTTCCTCGTCTGCTACTGACATCAATGCTCAAACGAGTGTTTATTAGCAAAAAAATATAAAGGCCGATAAGCTGTACGTTAACCAAACCGAATGACATTTTTATAATTAAAACATAAGCTATTTTTCGTTTAAATTTCGTGAAATTAGGAAGTTTTACTGACATATTTTTAAGCATATCATTTTCTAAGTAACACATTTCCGTCATCTACTGATTGAATTAAGTTACAAAAGCAGAAACAACCGTCATGTGACAAGTACGCTACTAGAGTTTACACATATTTGGTAAACAGACAGTTTACCAGTTTACACATATTTGGCAAACAGATTTTATAGGAACTAACTCGGTTAGTAGACATATCGTAAACCATTCTGTTTTTTATGTATTATGGAATACAATATATATTGTTCCGTGAAAGCACAACAAAAAACTCACTTACACCTTGCCTTAAGCATAAAACGACGTGCTTGAGCTTCCATTTTCATCCTCCCATCGCCCCGGGCTCGACCACTCAAAGGTGAGTATGGGAAATATCGCGAAGCTCCTCGTTTCTGTGATGAATTTTAACCATCTTCCCGCAGATGCTAAGAAGAGACACACGTACACACTGTTCTTGGTGTCTGAGCTGCACAATCTATTTTGCTTTTCTTCGTTACACTTCGATAAACTTGTGACAGTTGTTTGCCACTTGATACATTACCACCATGGAACATTCAAAAAAAAAATCGTTACCAACCTCCGCGCAACGGAATAGATTCATCCAACAACATATATATACAAAATGCTACCGACAGTTTTTCCTCTATCCTGTTTCGGTAGTTCAGCTTAAATGGGCTTTTGCAGAAAATCTACACAAAGCACATGAAATTGAAGAACGTGCAGGGCTGAGCTTGGGGAATTGATGATTAATGACTGTGCACACGAGGTTATTCCATGTTTTTTTTATTCACACCTATGTTTATGATTAGGTGGAATCAGTACGAAACTGGCCGTCAACAAACCAGAAGCAGGCCATGTGAAACGTGACCTCAAAGCATTGTAGTGCCAGATAATCCTTAGCACATCTTGCGAGAGTTCGTTAGAAACGGTAGAGACAGATTGCTGATATCAGTGGAAAAATTGCGCTCATTTGAGATATCGTAAATGCTCAAAATCCGGACACTTTTAAAGGTTGATACCACTGTCTTCTATGAAAAATAGCACGTGAGTATTATTATAGACTTTCAGCATAGTTGATAATCAGCATACATATTTATTATGTTGGAAAGTAGACGTAATATTTAATATTAAAATAAATGTTCAGATTAACGAACCGTCCGGTATTCGGTGCATTACGGTATCTGTCACTGCGGGTCACGCATTGATTTTTATGATTTGTTATGCGAAGGAAAACACCCATCGTGAAAAGTGGGGAAACTGTTGAAGAGTTCAAATTGATCGAAAGAGCAAACAGTTCTTCTGATATTCATGGAGCTTTCTGCAGTTGTTACTTAATGTCAACTTCCAATCAGCTACTCCAAACAATACTTGGATTTGATTTTACTGCGACCAGTAATTTGATCTAATTTGGAAGCTTTGTTTAATGAGAGCTCAAAACAGATCATAACAACTTGCGAGCTCGTTTTGACGTTCATTCAACCGATCCGTGCTATGAGTATGACGGGGCACAGGTCTAGGCAAGATCGCCACTAGTTCTTTAATGTCTTATCTAGTACACTAGAGAAATTGATCACGTTTTTCGAAACAATGATAATATAAAACAGCAAAAAAGGGTTATCTTCCATTTAATTCCACTTAATTAATTTTGGTATCCATGACAGATACGTATTTCGACTACAATGTGCAGTCTTCATCAGTGTCCTGTGTTCCTTATTATACTTATCCTTGAAAACGGACAACGCTCAACATCCAGTTGACTGGCAGGGAAATTTCCTTTTTACGAAAATTTAGACTGGTTGGAACAGGATTCCAACCCCCTAGAAAAAAAACATAATAGATAAAAAAAATTACTTAAATTGAACACTAGGAATTGAAACAGTCATCGTGCTCTGGTTACGGCTACTGAAGCTTATAAATGTATTTATGTTTCATGAGAAATCGTCTTCGTAAATATTCAAGCACAATTCAATTGAGAAAATAACCAGTGACGAAACCAGATCACGTGCCAACGAATGACATTTGAGTCTTGGATGGCTGCCGTCTTTTTCTTTTCCTATCTAGGTTAATACCAGAGACGGACAAAAACTTCATTATTGTGACATCACCCGGCCTTCCTCAATCTAAATGTCCATTGATGTTTGTTTTTCTCATGATGTAAGCCTCCTATTTATTACAATCTGTACAAGCCTTAATTTTCCAATCAAATATTCATGTAATTCAATACAACCAACAACATCAGGGCATTTGTCCCACTGTCGATGTCATAATATTGTACTAGAAATCAAATGTTCACTAAATCAATCAACATCAAACATAAATGTCATTACCTGTTTATTGCAGCATGAGTTTGATACCGGGGGGATAGCGTTTCGAAGATAATTATGTATATCTCCTCATCCTACGCTGCTTAACATTGTGTAATGTTACACGAGCGGTTTTCCACAAACTGTAAACTAACACAATGAATTAATATGAAGAGGTCGGCGAGACGACTAATCAAGAGAGTTGGCAAATTTGATTTCCACTCTCGGGTATCCGCAGGTGCGTTAGAAGCTTCAGTAGGTCACGCACAAAGCGAACCTTCGACGTGTTTCGTGTTACATGATCCGACATTACACATACAACAACTTTAGCTACCGCAACGAGGTACTATAGCTACTAGCATAAATGAACACTATTCGGAAAACCTAAAAGCTGCACGTAACACAATCTGTTTTTGTGGTTATGCCTTACAAAAAGGATTCAAATTCTAAACCAGAGCAGAGAGGAATAGCTCATTTGCCGGCGGAATGAAAACAACTGCCAAATTTGAAAGCTTTGCTTTTGTTCTATCAATGTCTCAGAATCGTTCATTCGATGTTGTTGCATTAAATTTGAAGCACATGTTGTATTGGCATTTGCATTCACCCTTTTAAGTGAGGCTATCTCACCTTACGAGCCTCGAGAGAACCACGAGTAAACGACCAAAATACTTACTAACAAGAATGAAACTATCAGATGGACCCCTCCTCAAAATATAAACTGTGTATAAGTAGTTTTAGCTTAATTTTAAAATTCGCAATTATTAAAAATCAAACAGTGACTAAGTTCACTAGAAGGACTAGAATTGATAAAAAAAAAAAGATAAATTATGCCCATTTGACAAGGGTCAGGAAAACTTCCTTAACTTTTTTACATTGGTTGCAGTAGCTTCTTTACGATCCTTTTCAGAATTATTGGAAATGTACGACCAATCCGGGGTCACTTTCACTTGCAGGGCTGGTAGCGATCAATGCTGTCAAAAATAGTGATTTTAGTGACCATGTTGAAGAAATAAGTGACCAAATAGTGACTTAAAGTTGTAAAAAAGTGACTAAAAAGTGACGTAAGGGAAGAAAATTAGTCGTTCTTATGGCATACCAAGTAAATGTTTGATGTTTTAGGCTTATTCAATTAGATTCCCATAAGCACTCCGCAGCGAAATAATTAATATAGTTCTATGATTTTCACTGAAGGTCTCAAGATCTGTCTGAAGTTTAAATCATCGAAACTAATTCATAGCTTCTTCGATAGTCTAGAGTTTCCTGATGTTTATAAAACTGCCCAAAATATTTATCAATTTCCTTAAAAATCTCTAGACTGCCATGTCTTAGTATTTTTTTTAAAGAATCCACCATTTTAATGGAATTGATTAAATTGCCTTTAAGTTCTACAATTTTCCTTAAGTTTTATAAAGTTTATAAACGCTCACGGAACTTTTCCTTAAATCACTAATTTTCCCTGCAAGAAGAATGCTTACCTTAATTTCTCTAAATTGATCAAATGTTCCGGTAAATTTTCTGATATATATTTATAATTCCATTAAGCTTCTAAAGTTTTCGGATCAATCAGAGAATTCTTGGAATATCCCATAATTCCAAGGAACTCCTTGTAAGTCGCTGCAAATGTCCTTAAGTTAATGAGATTTTTCTGATGTTATCTAATCGTCCTCGAAGTACTCGGAACTTCACTGAATATAATGAAACAATCAAAAATATCTAAATTTCATAACGTTCTCTGGAATTTCTCAAAAATATCGGGTTTTACTAAAAGTTCTCGCATTTTTTAATTAATAGTACTTCGTTGATGTTCTCTAATCAACTAAGCTACATTTTCGAATTTTTTATAGATCTTGAAATTTTCAGGATATAACACCCTTGAAATACTCTCACATTTTCCGGATTTTCATATAATTTTTATTGCGTTCCAGAAATTTTCTCTGAGCAAACCGAAGTTTCCGGAAATTCCGGTTTCTGCCATTTCCTTGAAATTTTCTGAACGGTCCTTCGATTCTCTGATCTGTCTTCATGTTCTCGGAGCTTTCCTAAAACTCTCAACTCGAATGAAGATCTTAGTTCTGCTTTTAAAATAAATGGAATTCTCGCTAATATCTTTAAACTTCCCTGGAGTTCTCTGGATTTCTGTGAAATTCCTGAAAAATTTCTGAATTTTTCATAAATTTTCTGAAGGTCTCTATACTGAATCACTCGAAATATCTTAAGGGTTCTCGATTTTATTTCAGCACCTCATGGAACTATTCTGCATTTGTCTAAACTCACGCTTATAGATTTTTAAACCAATTCAATAGTCAGGGTTGAGTGTTCATTCGACTATCGACAGAAGAAGGCCACTCTCGATGTGTGTCACGCCATCGTTTGTTTACTCCGCAGCAGCCATTGTGTGGTCCTCCCGATTGTTCTTCATCAGCAGTTCTTTCGGTCGATGCGTCGTCGACTTTGGAAAGCAAACGTTTCGTGATGAATGTGTGAGTGCTGACCACGTCTTGCGTCCATTGATGCAATGGAAGCGCTCGGCCCCCCGTTGGCGATACTGCCATGCAATGAAACCACTGGAAGCGGCTCCCGTTCTGATACAGGAGGCTTATTGCATAGTTGAAGATAAAGTGTTTATTGTGTTGTACCTTTTGACTATAGTTTAAGGATGTTTTGCATAGTGAACAAGAATCCTCGGCTCTGTAAAGTTAATTCGGTTGAGCCTTATCAAATAACTTAATAAATAATAGTCTGGGCTAAAGTTTAGGAGACTTCCCCTTAAGATCTCTGGAATCCCCCAAAGATCTCTAGATCTAGCTTTTCTGAGGTCAATAGAACTTCATTATAGTTTCCACAATTTTGATAGTACGAAACGTCAAGACATTAAAAATGTTGAAATCTTAGACTTAGTAAAATGAAGTAAGTGCTCAACTTCAAAATTTAATGGATTTGAGCTAAACTCGTTTCTTTAAAACTGATTGTCATGTCTTAAAAACGTTTGCGTTAAAAACATATTTTTCACGCATTTCATAAATAGCATTCTTACCTGGAAATCATCCGCCAAAGTTATGGAATAAAAACCTGGAAACGCAGGGAATTTTATTTAGCCAAATGAATGGACACCCTGTAGATAGAGAAGAACGATTAAACGTACCAAATTCTATATCAGGTCATGAACTTCGGATTGTTCAAAAATAGAACAAAATATAGGCCTATCCAGATGAATGATCAATCTTGAAATAAATTCACGTTTAAAAAAGTTTGAAATACAAGTTTATTACAAGAAAAAGTTACTTTAGTGATTTGTCCTTAAAAAAGAGACTTTTTAGAGACTGGCTTAAAAAAAAGTGACCAAGTCGCTAAAAAGTGACTCGCTACCAGCCCTGCACTTGCAATAAACCTGATACTAATTCTAGTAGTTGTGTAAACTTTAACTGTGTAATTTTGAGCTAAACTCGGTATAAACAACGGATTTTTCAGATTGCAATATTGCAACATTCTATCGTGGCGTTTAAACGCTGGTACCTGGTTGATGCAAAGTTGATGTAGCGATTTTTTTAGGTAGCCTCTTTCTCTTTTATACCCGGACACATTACAGCGTATATCACGTGATATATGCTGTCTTGCAATGAGCACTCATACATCTAGTTTTCACTGGAATAAAACACCTCTCAGACCATCATAAAAATTGCACGCGTTTAAAAAATATAGCAACTGAAAATTTCATTCGACATCGTGATATCAAAATTTGCATGACAGCGTAAGAATATCAGTTCTCAAATATCACGAGTAGTGGTGTAATCGGTCACCGCAGTCGACGTATTTTCTGAAATAATCCGTTGCCTTTCTTTTTGACACTCGCAGCTCAAGCTATCAAAAAACAGTACCAAACTGAAATGTCATATGACATGGCTCTCATATGATCGTGCCGCCGAAGAATGTTACGCTTTCGTGTTGAATTTATTTCTCATTATGAGAGCAGCTCATGCCGTGCTTGTTTTTTTCCTTGGTTTGTATTCCGTCGGTCTTGTTTTCCGTTCTGAGGCAGCTTCCACACCTGGACCCTACTTATCGACCCATCAACTCATGAACCGGGGACCAACGGCTTTACTTCCCGTGATCAGAGATGTTATGCCTCAGAACATCCCGGCGGCGCCGACTTAGATTGAACCCAGGTCTACTGGGGTGAGAGGTAATCACGCTTACCACTACACCACCGGCGCTTGTGATAACTATCAATATAAAATGAAAAGATAAGCGAGAGGAAACATTGCTGATCAGAAATAGTTAAAATATACACAAAATAGAAGAATTAGAACGAAATGACGCTGATGATATGATAGTTATTTGGCAGTTTTCCTTTTATGCGAATGTTGTTCTACCGCTCGTGCTGTGTGAGAGAGGCGATGGTAGAGCATGAGTGTACGATAAAAAAAAAACTATAGCCCACGATAACGAAGCAAATGTAACTAAAAGCAATCACCGGCTAATAGAAAACCAGTTAATGAGCACATTAAAATTTTCACTATGAACCACTGAAAATGGAAAGAAAAACTGAGAATGGAAAGAAAAACTAGGATGCATTCCGTTAAGAAATAAGAAACAAAATTAAGCACTAATGACCCACTTTTTCTTGGAAATTAATTATTTCCACCGTGTACCTGAGAGTTTATTGCTAACCAACACAACACGAGGTGGTATTCCAACTAATGAATAGAATCTTCTACTTTCACCTTAACGAGCGAACGTTGCTAAGCAAGCACATGCCACCCATCAGTCGAAATCAGTTTTTCACACCATATCACCGTTTGCTTTGGCCGTTCCGTCAGAGGATACATGTGACTGAAGATACGACACTGGTTTTATAACACCAGCATCCCACTCCTGATTCGATCGGACAATTTGTTAACGTGAGCAATCCGTTTTTATGACACACGTAGCTGAAACGTGCCCGCGCTCCCTAATTGCTTGCATGTGAAATTTCAACACCAATGCTTGAGTTGCAAATTTGATGTTCACAATTCGCATGAAAATACATGATCGAAAGCGGGTTATTCATAGCAAACGAGGAGAAATGCACCGAAATAGTATGAACCGAAATAGTGTGAACGGAAATATTTTGAAAATTATCAACTATTAACAATCACCGATAATCTGCTAATGCATCGATCCTACAGCAAAATGCTCTTACAGCTTTAACAAAAACAACCGCACAACGAAGCCGCAATCCAGGAAACAATTTCAACTGGAAGTCTGCGATAGCAACCTTCCATACATGTTCAATTTTTTTCAGGCTCACTGCATTTTCACCAACCAAGTCCTAATTGACCCGAAATTGCTACAAAATTGCTTCTGGACTTGATGCCAACGTCATTCGCTTTATTTGCATGGAAGCATCGGGTTGTCGTAGTGACGTGAGCCCATGGTAATCTTGGCCAGCATCCAAAGCTCCAGAGCGGTTCGATGCGCATTCACTGCAGGGTGGGGAAAAATCATCCGCCTCATATTTGCCAGAGGCTAAAAATTCACCACACCTGGGCCTTGGTTCATTGTAAGCAAACGTGCAAAGTTTCGTTAGAATCCGTTGACGAGTAGTACCGCAATGAAGCCAAGACCAACACGCAGTGCAGTAATCGAGCATTACAAGTAAGAAATTCGTCCGGTGTGTATCACTAGTATGTTGAAAATGCCAATATAAACTGTTCGAGGTACAATAAAACGGTATGATGAACTTCAAAATTTTGTTACAACCATCCTTGGATCGTGTGAAAAACAAGCCTGACCAAGGCCTGGAATGTTTTATCTGTAGAAAAACGAACGTTCATCGTGGATCAACCTACCTAAACGGATGAAGCCAAATTTTACGAAATAATTTAGTGTGTCCACTTTTCCCAAAATATATTGTAATTTAATATACTAGTAATAAAATTAATAAATTAAGACTAAATCATTGAAAGGGGAAAATTTTTCTTCACCCTGTATAGTAGCCAAAAAATGTATACAGGAGCGCTGTCAGATGTACCATTGCATTGTCAGTTGGTAGTATGCAGTGGTGAAATGCATCTGCCACCTCACATCAACTACCTCTAGGGTGGAGATTGTAGGTGTACAATGATTTTTTCCAGAGCATGATTTTTACCCCCGTCGATACATTGGAACTACAGCAAAAATACGCTGAACGTTGTATCCAGTAAGAAGTGCAGATTATCAGAAACACTCATCGGCATGAAATAACCAAGTGTATGATTTCTACCCCGAGCTCCTATCGCTTTAGCAGGTGCTGGGTAAAGTTACTGATCCTCTAATAAAACACACACTGATATAGGTCAAGCGTAACGAATGATATGAAGGAAATAACTGCCAGCTAGGATGATGCTCACTCTTCCAGAAAAAAAAAGAAAAAACAGATGCAACGGATGCGATGCACACCCACCGCACTGCTGTTCGAGAAACCCATTTTTATCTCAGACCCCGGACAAGAGGTAGCAACCGTAGACTGTGAAATTAAACTGAAAGGGTTGTCATGAACACCAACTTTTTGTTGTTGCTGTTGTTGTTTCAAGGTCGGAACACCTGTTTTTATTTGTGTTCAATGTTGATGTATAGGACTGACAACGGATGGAAAGCAACAGCACAATTGTTTCCAACTTTCTACTAATTAATAATGTTACTAATTTATTTTCCGGGTTTTCCCTTTTCCGCATTGTTTTCATTTCACAGCGATGGCTCTTTGCGACATGTTTACCCTGCTTTTCCCGGCGCCCGGCTTGCTGTACATGTACACGTTTGGCAATCACTACAAACCATTATCGCCGATTGCCGCCTGCTACGTGTGGAACGCGTTGAACGAGGTAAGTTTTCCGACTCCTATGGTCATCAGCAGAATGCGGAGGAGGGGCATGTTTGCAGTTCATTAAAGCGAATGCACATACGTTCATTGATTACGCGCGATGTCGTATGTCACAACATAACCCAAATGGTTAATAAAAATGTACTCTGCAGCCGTGGAGATAGGCGGTGTGTTCATTAAATTGATTTATAAATAAACAATTAAAAAGGAGTAAATTGCGATTATAAAATGGAGATTGCAATTTTCAGAGAGTTTCAATGCATGATCAAATATCGGGGCAAGCAATTGGATTGATGCTTGATTTTATATGCATTAGTGTTTCAAAATTTCGATTTTTCTCCACCCAGCTTAAAATCAGGTCCAGCCTGATTACCACCTTAGATTCTGACCATTCTCCCAAAATTTGAGCTCATTTTGTGGCGATACTTCTCTGATCGTTTGAAATTTATGTAATTCAACTGAAGCAAATGTACAAATGTTTTTTGATCAGTTTAAAAAAATGTCAGAAAATTATTCCATTAGGCTCATGCAAAATCATGAACTTTTATTGAAACTGAAAATATTTTTTATGCGCTCTCTTCTGGTCAACCTCAGTATGTCTCAGCAGCGACTGCTGCAAGCAAATTCTACAGCATTCGAGACACCTTGCCAACTTCCGCATAATAATTTCCCAAACATTTGATTGGGCGGAATTTTAGGCTATTGGGTGGGTTCATGTCCTATTCAACAAAATCCACTCCGCATCCAAGCACAATTATTATTATTTAACTTTATTAGGGAGGCTTTCAGCCTTGGGCTGGTTCGCCTCCAAAGATCCAACCACAAGCGTGGAAAGTCTGTACAGTGCCTGTAGTAAAATAAAATATATAAAATAAATTTTGCGTCCAGATTCACTGCACAAAGCCTTAGAACTGCTCATTTAAACATGTTTTTTTTATCGTCGTAATTTCATATTCTGTTAACCGTGTTTTTTTTTTTTTTTTTGGAAAGGTTATCTATTTAACTACAATTTTGCCTCAGACGTCATTTATATTGGAAGATACGCTTCCGTGCTATGATTAATTGAAAATGTCAAATACGCAAATTTACGCAAACGAGCCGTGAGTTGTTCGCCCGTAGCGAATTATTATGCAAAATGTTTATGGAAATCAGCGTCAGTCTGAAATTTGTTTTCGTTTTGTCATTTGGTCTGGAAGTGCTCAATCTTGTTATTTTTCGGTTAAAAAAAGTCAGTTTCCAGCAAAAATTATTATGATTCTTTCACGATAGTACGGGTTAACTTAAATAAATTTAAAATTACTCCATTAATTAGAGCTACACTTAAAATATTAATCAACTGTCATCACAACATTATTTTAAATAGTCGTATTATCAACAATAAAAAAAAACTTATTTATTCAAACATCGTGAGATCTGGCCATTCTCACCATTCTTCTTAAATTTCGACTGAATTGTTCAAGCATGTGTCCAATGTGGTCCTGGGAACTTGATATATGTGTATTTGATTAAAATGGCACATACATAAACAGCTGTAACTTTTTAACTTCTATAACATATGACTTTAAATTTTAATGAAGATTTTTATGCAACGTACACATATAATTGTTTATGAAAGTCTGAGAGGTGCTTTATCTCGACTCGAGTAATAGTCATGAATGTCTAAAAAATGCTGTACAGTCTCAAATTTGAAATCAGCGGTTATTCAAGAAAATTCTTTCGTAATTGTTACAATGTACAGCCTTTGGTTGAAGACGGTGTCAATTGTCTTTTCAAAAGCTGTATGGCTAACATGGCTTAGTACTTGTTTAACCCTAACGAACAACTTGTTGCTACACCACCAATCTTCAACATCGTCAACTTTACTGTTACACACCGTCCATAAAACATTTCCGGACCATCTATCAACGTGAGGAGTTGGGTAGGACAAGCTGACGATAAAAGCGTAAAGAGCCAGTAGAGGACAAAAAGAGTAATCACATTATCAATTACTTGTACAATCTCTAGCGAAGTGGAAAATATGGGCATACCAGCAGAGACTGCATTTCAATAGAATGCCTCGACTATACATGTAACGACATTGGGAGAGACAACGGAAATACCCACGGGAAGCTAGGGGCATTACAGTCACAGTATCAGACCTATTCAAGCCAATAATGGAGAAGTGGGTATGCCCGTCTTCTGCTGTCAGTTGGGAAGAAAGGGTACAATCAGGATACCCCACGGACAGTTTTTGAAACGATGTAATCCACTTGCCTAGTTTGATCGTTGTGGGTTCCTTCCTGTGGTTGGATTACAATCTCTAGGATATTAAATTGCAAGTTTTATCGAAAAACAGTCGATAATGTTATGTTCAGTAACTAGAAAGAACTCAAGCTATACATAGAACTTTTCCGAGCAAACTGACGAATCGATGAGACGCGATTTTAATAAAATGTTGCATATTGTACGGAATGTGAAGTAATCTGAATTTGTGCGTTGGTTTCTATTTCCGGTTCATTTCCAAATTTCCAGGTTGAGTGGCCACTCTGCCAGATTCCAACACAAAATTGAATGATACAGATAACGAACAATTATGCAAAATGTCATTAAGATAAAGAACGTCATGTGTGCAATCCATTTTATGTTTGCTGTTTGGCCTGAAAATACTATTCACCATCTTTACTAAAAAACTGCAATCAACTTTTGTAGAGATAAATCCAGTCGTGATTATCTAGCAAATAGGGGCACATCCATGCACATTAAGTTTTTTTTTTATTTTTTTCTCGGTGCAAAAAATGAAATTAAAAATATTAAAAATAATTTAAAGCATGCATAACGGTTATAAAATGCAATCCCATAATCGTGATTACTATCCAACTTGATCTTGAAAATATGTCCAAATCCGGTATCATTATAATTTGTCTAGATTTTTTCAACAAAAAGTCTGAAATCTCGTTTTTCCATGTTCCAAAATAAAAAAAAAATATCTTAATTTTTATTCGAAATAGCATTTTTGTCATATAGAGACTGCTAATGAAAAAAACAACGGGGCACTTTTTCTTCTTCTTCTTCTTCTTCTTCTTTGCGTTTCAAGCTTATTGTTTATCGCATATTAGTTTATGGCGTGTTCTCAACTTAGTGTTCTAGATGCACTTCCATAGTTATTAATTGAGAGCTTTCGATGCCTGTACCATTTTTGCATTGGTATAATTGTGTGGCAAGTCCAATCATACTTTTATGCCCAGGAAAGTCGAGAAATTTTCCAACCCGAAAAAGTCCTAGACCGGACCGGGAATTGAACCCAGCCACCTCCAGCATGATCTTGCTTATGGACTTCAAAGTAACGATTTAAAGTTTTCTTTGATGATGGATACCAATGGTTGCTTTGATTGAAAGCCACAATTCCCGTATTTAGAGGGGAATTCCTATTTGCGCAAGGATTTTTACTGCTTTTGCTTTTTACGGATCCCTTGATCACTTATACTTGGGCTTCGGTAATGTGGATACGATATGCGGTCAGCATCCTTATTCTTGGAGCTCAAGCGTCACGGTATCCGGAAAAATGAATAGCTGCAAAATCTCTGCCTTTACCGACTGAGCTAAGGGAGGCCCCGCTTTTTCATACAAGGGTCAATTTGAGCACCTGAATCTTTTTTCCACATATTTTTTTAATTGTACACCATAAAAAAAGAAATATGAGTTTTCACGTGTGGATAAGCGTAAATTAGGATCTATCACGGTTTAAGAAGCTTTTTAGTGATATTGTAACTAACGTGAAAGCTCTGGGACAAGAATTTGTTTCGAGTAGCTGTGGTGTCACGTTGATCGGTTTTTCTTTTCGCTTATTTTTTGTGCTTTGTCTCCCTCCCAAGAAGAGTTCTACCGAGTATTTTTTTTTCTTTTCTTGGTGCTCTTGTTCTGCCTTCCGGATGATACACGCGAATGAGGTGTTAGGCAAAAGTTCGGTGCAAATGAAAAACTTCGCATGTGATTCAAAATGTTGTGTTCGGTAGTAAAAACTACGCGGAAGAATTTTTAGATTACCGCGAGTGAAGAGGTGCTTTTACGGAGGCAGAGTTTGGTGAGATCCATCTGATTATAAATCAATCATAAATGCATATTGCCATATAATACTAAATACGCGTCAGATTTCGGAACTTCACATTTCGAAGTGTGGAAGTGTGTTTGCAGTATTATTATTCATATGATAACGGTAGTGTTTACATGCGGGGCTTATTGTATGTGAAAGTAACCTCGGAATGGACGTGAATTACCAGGCATTCTGAAATGGGTTACTGAATCTGCAGTAGAGCTATCGCTTTCTAACTCCCGGACTAAATTTGCTTTAAATTATTACATCAAGGATTGTTGTAAGCAAATTTCTTCCATAATACCACTGCCGGCCAGTGGGGGTTAGATTGAACACACACACACACAAGGGTCAATTTGAGCACCTGTCTCTATGGGTCAGTTTTCTCTCAGGCTTCTCAATATGGAAAATATCGAGAAAAATTATTGATTATTCCCATATGAAAATATAATGGTAGTCAAAACAAGACGGGAAAAGTTCTCTCTTGCGAATAGTGAAGGTTCGAGAAATGCCGATTATTTTAAGTTCCACGATCTTATATTAACATTTAGCAAAATAAAAAATAATCTGTATTTAACCCATGAGATGAAATGATGAAGTGAAGAGATTTCTTAGCTGAACAGATTTAATTAATAAAATTAATATGTTTCATATCCCGATTTTTTTTCCGAAGTCCCAGAGTTATAGAAACTATTCTATGTCTACAGAAGTTTTGGAAGAATAAAAAAAATCAAATTCAGATACCTACCATGAATTTTTGTCTAAATATTGACATCTCAATTTGTACATGCTTTTCTGAACAATCTCTGTTTTAAGTCTGTTACATCCCGAAATTCGTTTTTATGATCTATTTGCGATCCATGATTTTAATCGTAACTTTCCTTATGAATGTTCATGGATGGAATGGTTTGTTCACGTAACAGTGATGTTGG